GCTAGGGATTTGAAGTTCTTAAATCCCTTCTGGAGGCTGCTAAGCCATACATTTTAAAGATCACATTCATCTCAGGCCTGAGAGATACTTTTTCAGTACAAACTGTTCTTTAGGATCTGCCTGCAGGGCAGACACTGTCACTTGTGGCCCTAGGACTTCAGTCACCTTCCTGCAAATGTGGTGCTTGCACCACTAGTTCAAACTAGGCTGATGGCAGGTCATTCTCCTGTCTAGTAGTGCTAATGTATCTCTTGAGGAGGACATTTCTGTACAGACTGGTTCATGGTTCAAGTGTGAACTCTTACAAGGCAAAAACCCCCAAGGTTTTCAAATACGTTTAATGAATAAAATGTATACCTGTTATTCACATAAAAATAACTGTACAATTCAGAAGTCATACAGCTGATAAAAAGCAGTAACATGGTTGCAACCAAAACCCTTCCAAAAAAACCCACCCAAGCCTCCAAAACCCCTGGAAAAAAACCTCAAACCAACCCACCCATAGATTTTTCATGTAACCTGACCCTCACACAAAGGCTTTTACTGTGATTTTTCATGTCAAGAGCAAAGTGTACCATTGTTAGTTACAGTGATGTGAGTTTTCAGGTAAGTGTTCAGTCAATAAAGATTTAGATTATACAGCAACCTTTAAATTTTAGAATTTTGTTCAACTCTTGCCATGGCAGCAAGAAACAAAAAGGCACAAGGGCTCCTGTGTGAAATCTTGAATCTTAATTTAACGGTACTCCCTCAGATTAGAAAAGCACAATTGTTTCCAAAAGGTGGTCCTCCAAGGTTAATGTTTTTGTCACATAGTTTGATGCTGCTGTGCTGAGTTTCCCCTCAGCTGCAGTGGGTGGCTCTTAAAAAAGAGAAAGCAAAACAACAAGGTATTTGGAAGAGTAGTAATTAAGCTGTGCTTAAAAGAAGGTAGGATCTCCACTACTGTAGTGTGGCTACTGCTGGTAAATGTCTTTTTAATGGCTACTTCTTGGCCAGTCTTTTCCCATGTAATTACTTTGCTAATATGGTACAAAAACCTGTTAAAAAGCATGAGCCAAGCTGCCCCTGAGCACAGCCGATAGGGGAGAGCAACTGACATCATCTAGCTGTACTTGTGCAAAGTGTGTGACACTGTCCTGCACAACCTCCTTGTCTGCAGATGGGAGTGAGGTGGGTTTTGCTGACGGGCCAGCCGGGGGGTAGGAAGGGGCTGCTGTCCCAGCAGAGACCAGCCAGGAGCTTCAGCATCCACCATGTGGCAGCAGTGGCCATGAGTCTGCCCACGCCACCAAGCTGTGCGGGCCAGCCAACATGCTGGAGGGAAGGGACGCCGTCCAGAAGGACCTTGAGAGGTAGGCCTGTGCAAATTTGGGGCCCTACTAAGGGGAGACAAGAAAGCTGGAGATGGACTTTTCATCAGGGAGTGTAGTGATCAGGGATAATGGTTTTAAACTGAAAGAGGGTAGATTTAGCTTAAATGTAAGGAAGAACTTCTTCACTGTGAGGGAGTGAGACACGGGAACAGATTTCCCAGAGAAGCTGGGGATGCCTCCTCCCTGGAAGCATTCTAAGACCAGGCTGGATGGGCTTTGAGCAACCTGGTTTAGTGGGAGGTGTCCCTGCCCATGGCAGGGGATTGGAACTAGATGACCTTTAAGGTCCCTTCCAACCCAAACCATTCCATGATTCTGTGATTTACTGTAACCACCATTCTATTTTCACCTTCAACTGCCAGACACAATGGATAATAAGAAAGACTAAAAAGGGATAATTGTAATATTTCTTCCCTTTCAGAGAAGGGAAGGAGCAGCTATAGTCTATAAATTTTGCACTATATTATAAAAGAGTCACTCCTAAATTTTTTAAAAAAATCTTTTGCAGACGCACATGAAATGTAAATTTCTTCCTGATAAAATAGTTTGAGTCAAACGAGATCAAGGTGATGAATCTTTTTAACATTTGTGGAGATACCAGCTACCAACTTCAAAGCAGTGGTAGCTGGCAGAGCTGGGATGTTGTGCTGAGAAGGCTCAGCAGGGCCAGCTCCCATCTCTCCCACAGTGGCAGCCTGCATTAAGGGGCTCATCAATCACCTTACGCCATTTTGATCGAACCGAAACACCGCGCATCCTTTTTTGCCTGCCAAGGGCTTGGTACAGCAGCCTAAATACAACCACCCCCTTCCTCCGTGTCCTAAATGGAGCTAAATGGAAATTGTAAATACTCCCCAAGTGAACTCTGTACTGCTCAGAAGACCTGTGGTTTAGATTTGCGTAGCAGCGGTCGATGGAGCGCATTGTAAGACGGGAGCAGCAGCCTCAAGGGATTCAGTATCTGCTGTTGTAAAGACATCGTAAAAAAAAACCACCATAGGACAGGTGGGTCTGCAAGATAAAAGGCAGAGCCTGACTGGAGCGTTTGATGTCAGAACATTCTGCACGCCAGGAGGTTGTTTTAAGTGCAGTTATATCAAGGTGAGGAACTCAAGAATCAAGATTGAGGCTTTGACCCCAACTTGCAAGTCTTATTTAGCGCCAGCAGTGCTCCCTGATCTACTGACTGTAGATGCCATCTGTGCAGCAGCATCAGGCAGGGTGAATTAAGGACAGTTTGGTGCATATTTTCAGCAGTAACTGTCCACGAACAGAGGGCCAAGGAAAATGCTCGCAAATTAAAAGCTGACAGCAGACACTGACACGACACTCTCATCTACTCGTTGCTGGAAGTCCTTTAGGAGGTCAATCCTGAGGGTGGAGAGATGATACTATCATGTAGAGCTGAAGTATCCCATATCCGAGGTTGCAGAAGAGGAGAGGAACGTTGTCTATAAAGACGTTGGCAATGCTTGAAGTAGTGAAGAAAGAATTTGTAGCGCTCAGCCTTGGCTTGCAGAGTTTAATTTTAACTGTGTTAAAAATAGAAGCATATGATAGGAACCTTAACAAAAAAAATTTACAGCTGGAGTATTCATGCTGCCATCTCACTGCGGCCCCTTCCCACTCTGCTCCTGCAGCGTGGTGTCAGTGTAACTGTAACGCTCTCTTCTGAGCACCCCTGTACCTACACACCTTCACAACCGCTGACCGCGGCACCACCGCCTCAGTGGTTTATAGCCTTGAGTGTATGCTTGACATGTGAAGTGTTTTCTTCACGTGAAGAAAAACAAAGTGGGTTTTCAAACTGTGTGAGGGAGGGAGAAGACAGAAGAGCATGCTGCTGGTCTTTTTGCCCTTGTTGCCTCCATCTTCCTTGCACTGCTGTTTACAAATACTTCAAAGTTCATTGGATTCTGCTTCACATAATGGTCATATAAAACCAAGCTACAGCAGGTCAAGATTTATTGACCCAGGTGCTTAGAAGCTTACCTGAATTGGGTTTGCTGTTGACTGCAAGTTGTCCCCCTCAGAAGCTGCAGCTTTCAGGTAATATATCTATGTACAGAGAGAATTCTATTGCCAAACAGTGTGAGGAAGGCAATAAATACAAAATCCTAAGTTGCCAGGAGGTGTAATTTGCTGCCCATTACAATGGGAAATTTAAACTCCATCTAGAAGAGCCTCTGGGCCAAGCCAGCCAAGCAGTTAGGGATAACTGCAGGGGGAATGTAAAACAACCAGCAATGTTCCTTCTCTTCCAATTGTGCTCCAACACACACCCCACATGAGGCTGTACAGCCTGAATTTTAACTGCAATA